TTCCCTCCATCTGGAATGCTCTACCCCCAGAAACTGTCACGGCTCACTCCCTCACCTCCATCAGGTCTTTGCTCAAACGTCACCTTCTGAGTCAGACCACGCCTAATCATAAAATTGAAATCCCCCCACCCCGGGACTCCCTGTCCCTTTGTATGCATTATTTTCTCAGGTAGCACTTCTTGTCTCCTGCACTCTTTACTCTGTTTGTTTCTTCATTCTGTGGACAGAAACAAAGGCCACGTGCTGACCTGACAAGCTCAGGAAAGGCCTGCAGGGCAGTCCTGCAAACTTAGAGACCTAAAGTAACCACAAAGGATGGTCTGAAATGAAAACGAACTAAAAGCGGTTAGGGTTACGGTGGTTAGTCGTGTCCTAGGCCAGAATCTTCCCGGACAAGGTCAACCTTTACCTTAACTGAGCCTACTGTCTTTTTGCATCTATGATAACATATCACAGAAATGTCAGGGTAACTTGTAACTTCCCTTTTTTTCCGGACGCCTTAGGGCACAACCAAATGCCCTGGGTGCCAGAACAGACACCACAAAGTCCTTCATTGTTATTGTTATCATGTTAATTATTGACTGAGGTAAAAGAAGTAGGTGTCTCATTTTACTTTTTATCCAATCCCAGAGGTCCCCCCTCCTTGGCTTTCTCCTCCTCTCTAATCTATCACCAATGGATTTCATGTGAGCCACTTATTTTACTTTTTATCCAATCCCAGAGGTCCCCCCTCCTTGGCTTTCTCCTCCTCTCTAATCTATCACCAATGGATTTCATGTGACCCACTAACGTCTCCTTTGAATGTAATGTATAAAACAAGGTGAAAAACCACCATTCTCCAGAGCATTATGCCAATACGTTGAGATTTTGCTTCCTGGCAATGGTCAACAGGTTGGCTCAAATAAACTCGCAAAAATTCTTGACGGGTTTGAATGTTTTTAGGTTAACAACTCTGAACTGTCTCCCTCACTAGAATGTCAGCTCTGCAAGGGCAGAGATGTCTATGTTTTGTTCACAGTGTGTCTCCAGCTCCTAGGACAGTGTCTGGCATTTCCTGTGTGTTCTATATATATGTTTGTTACGTGTATAAGAGGACAGAATGACTCAAAAGACAGCAACTGTGGCCGAAACAGAGGGAGTGAAGCAGAGTGGTCTGAGATGAGGCAGCAGTCAGACCCCGGGGACTTGAGTCTCTCTGAAGGGCACTAGGGAGTCACGGAAGGCTTTAGAGCAGATGCAGGCCAGGGTCAGATTCGTGCTTTGAAAAGACCTCTCTGGCTGATGCTGAGCTCCGGCTACTGGCAGTTGTGCCAGAGAGCGGTTTGTCTCGCACCCTGCACTCTGCAGAGGTGCCATGGAAGCAGTGTGGCACCGAGGCAGGCGTTTCTTAAGCGTTTACTATGAACAGGTCTCATGCTAAGCTTTCCCTGTGTCACGGGTCCTCAAGCATCTCCCTGAGGTAAGAACTATTACGATAGATCCTAATTGACGGGGTGGGGGTGGAACAGAGACTCCAGAAGCAAAAATTGTTTCTCTTAACCACACAGCTGGTAATGACCGAGGTGTGACTCAGCCCCAAGGCGTAATCAGACACAGGCTTCAGGAGGTCTAGGCGTGGGGCTGGGCCCAGATTCCAAGCCTCCCTCGGGGCCTCCCCTCCCTTCCCAGAGGGGGCCCAGGGCGGCTGCATAGCTAGGCTGCTACTTACCCAGGGGCTCATTCAGTTCCAGGAGGTGGGTGCTGGGATCCTGCTGCCGCCCCGGGGCTGGTCCTGTCAGGAGGAAATTCTGCAGGGCAGAGACAAAACCAGCATCATGGAGATCA